CACCACCACCAACAGCATCATCATCATCATCATCATCATCATCATCATCATCATCATCATCATCATCATCATCATCATCATCATCATCATCATCATCATCATCATCATCATCATCATCATCATCATCATCATCATCATCATCATCATCTTCATCATCATCTTCATCCTCCTCGTCGTCCTCCTCGTCGTCATCCTCATCTTTTTCTGATGGGAAGTAGTATTACTAGTATTCGTAGAATTAACAGTAATACTATTATCAACTGTATCGTTAGTATTATGAATAGTAGCATTATTAGTAGTAACAGTATTAAGAATAGTGTTACATAGTACTACTATCCGTATGAGGATTAGTATTAGTAGTAGTAGCAGCAGCAGCAGTAGTAGTAGTAGTAGTAGTATGAATCACAGTAGTAACATTATTAGTTTGGTACTATTAGTAGTACTAGTCTTAGTAATATGAGTGTGCTAAATATTATTAATAATATTAGCACTGGTAGTCTCAGTAGTAGTAATATTATTGTGTATCAGTAGCAGCATCATTAGTACTAATTTTACTGATAGTATTAGTAGGAGTATTAGTGTTATGATTATTAGTGACAATATTAGGAATCTGATTCATGATAGTATTAGTGTTATTAGCATTAGCATCATTATTAATATCAATATTACTACTATTACGAGTATTACGACAATTACTAATATCATTAATGTTAGAATTCGTCGTCGTAGTAGTATTATTAGTGGTCTTCTTATTATGATTCGTATTATTCTTCTGATTCACAATATTTTCTTATTATTACTGTTATTCTGAATAGTCGTAGTATGCTTCTTATTATTCTTATGATTATTAGTCGTCTTATGTTTCTTCTTCTTCTGAATGTTATTCGTAGTATTCTTCTTAGTATTAGTATTGTTTGTCTAATGTTGATTATTGTTCGTGTTAGTATTTTCCTTCTTCGTAAGTTATTATTATGATTCTTCTTCGGATGATTCTTCTTATTAGTATTATTAATATTATTCGCATTCGTATTCTTATTATGTTCAGTCGCGTTCTTATTATTAGTAGTACTCTTATTATCATTATTAGTGTTGTTCTTATTAGTATTACTATTCTCTTTCGTCTTATTATTATTACCCTTATTCGTATTGTTCTTTTTATTAATAGTACTCTTATTATTATTCTTGTAACGATAGTCCCAGTAGTAGGGGGCGAGCAATCTCAAGCAGTTTTGGTATCGATGGCAAATGGTACACCTCGTGCTGAGGTGTAGTCAGATCTGGGCGGCCGGCCGCTTTGAGCCAAGCAGCCGCGGATGCACGCTCGTTCCCACTCACATGCAACACCCAGGTCACTTTAGAGTTTCAATACAACTCCTACCAAGTTCAATGATCGTCATTTGGTTCTTCGAGGTTCTCAGCGTTCTCACCTTTTCGGCCGCTGACGCTCAAAGACGGCCCAAGAAGCCCCCAAGATCACTCCACGACGGCCCATTAAGCCCCCAAGAGAGCCCCCAAACCGCCCCAGAGCCACCCAAGATCGCCCCAAGATGGCCTAAGAGGCCTCCGAGAGAACCCCCAACAAAGAGAGACCCCCAGGACGGCCCCAGCAGAAGGAGCCCAGAAGAAGGAAGCCGAACGGGCATTTCGAGCCCTCGGCCCCAAGAGGCGTCCAGGCTTCCCCAAGCGGCCCCCAAGAGCCCTCCAAGAGGCGCCAAGATATCCCCAAGAGGCATCCAAGGCGCCCCGAGGAGGCCCCAAGAGCCTCTAAAACTGCTACACTGGAGCCCCCCGAGAACCCTCCGAAGAGACACCAAGAAGCATCCATGAGGAGTCTCACCCACAACCGCAGCAGCGCCGACGCAGCGCGAAATGGCCCACGAACGCGCACGCAAACGCCAACGATGGCAAATATGGGCCGGCGGAATGAGCGAAGCGATGAAAAAATTGAGCCCCTCCGACGCACGTCTTAGGAACAGCCAAAGTCGCGCCCCGCGCGCACTGCTAGGTACGACTCCCCTGTGCCCAAATGAACCCCACATGCGCACAACTCGGGCCATCTCCGTGCACTGCCGAGTATGAATTCCCCGTACCCGAGTGAACCCCAGACGTGACCAGAATAGGCCCTATATCCGCGCATTGCCATGTGCAGCTCCCCTGTGTGTGACAGAGCCAGGCCCCATTTACGACCACCCCCACCAGCCAACACAGCCTGAAAGCAGACCAAAGGTGGACCGTGGAGGCCCGAAAATACTTCCCCGAATCAATCGCGAAGGCTGCGCTACTTTTGCAGCCAGGACCGGGTGTAGCTGTAGAGCAAGCCCAGCTGCAAAAGAACTTGTTGCTGGCATCGCTTGAAGACGTGAGCGCGACTGCAAAGCCAGCGGGACGCGCCAGGCACTAAGCGCACTAGAGCGGGCGGAAAAGCAGAGACGGCCGCGGAGACGGCCGCGGGGGGAAGCTGGGAAAGAACACACGCGCGCAAGGACAGGAGGGGTACGAGCTTCCGAAGGGCGGCCCTGCCAGCAGAGGGGACGCTCAGGGGTCTGCACTCTCAGGAGGACGTCAACGAGACACCAACGCCGATCCTGACAAGGAACATCCTGGGCCCGAGGTCGGTGCATTGAGCTGACCCTGGGACTGGGGGACTGGGAGACTGGGATCGGCGCCGGAGGGACAAATGGGATGGGGGGATTATCCGTGGATGCCAAGGTGGGTTATATCTGGCCTGGCCAAACTTAGCACACAAGACTACCATAGGTAGGCGAGGTAGGAAGAAGAGGAGGAGGAGGACATCCACATCCTCCCTTCTCCCCCCTCCTACCTATGGTAGCTACGGTGGGCCTGGCCAGGCTCGGCGCAGGTGCACAGCTGGCGCAATCCGAAGGAAGGGCACAAGCTCCCGAGGGGCGGCCCTACCACACGAAATCCTGAGATCGCAGAGGCCCGTGCCAACCGCAATTATGAAGGGAGTCCACCACTCCTCCTCCTCCTCCTCCTCCTCCTCCTCATCTCCTCCTCCTCCTCCCTCCTCCTCCTCCTCCTCCCTCCTCCTCCTCCTCCTCCTCCTCCCCCCTCCTCCTCCTCCCTCCCTCCTCCTCCTCCTCCTCCTCTCCTCCTCCTCCTCCTCCTCCTCCTCCTCCCTCCTCCTCCTCCTCTCCTCCCCTCCTCCTCTCCTCCCTCCGCTCCGCCTCCGCCTCCGCCTCCGCCTCCGATTCCTCCTCCTCCTCCTCCTCCTCCTCCTCCTCCTCCTCTCCGCCTCCTCCTCCTCCTCCTCCTCCTCCTCCTCCGCCTCCGATTCTCCTCCTCCTCCTCCTCCTCTCCTCCTCCTCCCTCCTCCTCCTCCTCCTCCTCTCCTCCTCCTCCTCCTCCTCCTCCTTCTCCTCATCCTCCTCCTCCTCCTCCTCCTCCTCCGACTCCGACTCGACTCCTCCGACTCCTCCTCCTCCTACTCTCCTCCTCCTCTCCTCCTCCTCCTCCCTCCTCCTCCGCCTCCGACTCCTCCTCCTCCTCCTCCCTCCTCCTCCTCCTCCTCCTCCTCCTCAGACCTCCTCCTCCTCCTCTCCTCCCCTCCTCCTCCTCCTCCTCCTCCTCCTCCTCCTCCTCCTCCTCTCCTCCTCCTCCTCCTCCTCCTCCTCCTCCTCCTCCTCCACGTCTGCGGGCCGGTCTTGCCGAGGCAAGGCATGGGGAGAGGCGCGCCCTCTATAGGCCTTCACGGCAACCGAGGAGCGCTCGGCCTCCTCCGAGGTGAACTCGGGGACAGCGAGCTCCCCCTCGGCCTTAGAGTAGGGGATCGACTACAGAATTCGTTTACCCAAAAATTGATGTTCTCGTCGAGTCTGCGAGCATCCTACGTATTTTTAATACATTGGACGAGAAAATCACTTTGGGGGAAACCAGTTCAGTAGTCGATCCCTACTCGAGGCCTTGGTGCCTGCCGCACCCAGCGAGCCCTGGGCGCCGGCCAGGCACGCGCTCCACCGGCCCTGTGGGGTGAGAAGCAACAATAGGGCACAAGGAGAGAGGCGGCGGAGGAGGAGCGGAAAGCGGGCGGAGGAGGAGGAGGAGGAGGCGGAGGAGGAGGAGGAGGAGGATTCCAGCAGAGGATTCGCAAAGAGCGGTTCCACCGCAAGTGCACCATGAGAAACCCCGATCGAGAGATGACGCCAACAATCGACGCTGCTGGGGAACTCTACTGCCTGAACTACGGGGACGTCCTGCCCCCGAGGAGCCATTCGGCCGCCTCCCCCTCTGGGTCCAGAGGCGCAGCCCTAGGCGAGAAGGAGGAGGAGGAGGAGGAAGAGGAGGGGGAGCAGGGGGAGGAGGAGCAAGAGAAGGAGGAGGAGGAGGAGGAGGAGGAGGAGGAGAGGAGAGGAGGAGGAGGAGGAGGGGAGGAGGAGGAGGAGGAGAGGGGGAGGAGGAGGGGGAGGGGGAGGGGAGGGGAGAGGAGGGAGTAGGAGGAGGAGGGAGGAGGAGGAGGAGGATGGGGAGGAGGAGGAGGAGGAGGAGGAGGAGGAGGAGGAGGGGGAGGGGAGGAGGAGGAGGAGGAGAGGAGGAGGAGGAGGAGGAGGAGGAGGAGGAGGATGGAGGAGGAGGAGGAGGAGAGGAGGAGGAGGAGGAGGAGGAGGAGGAGGAGGAGGGGGAGGAGGAGAAGGAGGAGGAGGAGGAGGAGGAGGAAGAGGAGTGGAGGAGGAAGAGGAGTGGAGGAGGGGGAGGAAGAGCGAAAAAAAAGGGAGGAGGGGAAGGAAGCTGGCGGTGGCTGGGGACCCCACAAGAGCCCTAGATCAAATCGTCCAGGGACAAGGGTGCAACGCTCCGGAGGTGGAGGAGGAGGTCTGGCGGCGACGGAAGCCGTGCATGTGAGCGAGAACGTTAGAGGGAACTGGCTCATGGTAGGGGATGAACAGGCGACTGGGGGTCGATGCATCCCCCCCGAACGTTGCCCCTGATGGGATGGAGAAGCAGGAGGAGGAGGATGAGGAGGGTCAAGGTTTCTGAGCGTGTTTTACAATTCTGGAGCCTCTGGGGCAACTCCTCGTCGCTACGGACGGATCCACCTCAGAATCCTAACAGGAGCGCAGCCCTGGAGAGGTCCGACGGGCGATTTAAATCCCCGAGTGAAGCCTCCTCGCGTCGTGAAAAAAATAACAGAAGCAAACAACCAAGCACAACAAATATACCCTAACAAAGCACCCAAATTGTAGCCAAGGTGAAGAGGCGGGGCGAGGAGTAGGTCGGCTAGTGAAAACGTGCATCCCTATGCATTCCTCGGGATTCCTACGGATTCCTGGGCGTGACAAATGTGAGAGCACGGCCACGTGCACCGTGGTGTCTTTTACCAGAGATCGTGGCCGTGGACAGGGGTGAGAGCACGGCCATGTGCACCGTACCGTAAAATATGTCTTACGGGAGGTCGTGGCCGTGTCACAGGCCGTGTGGCAGGGATCCTGGCCGTCCTGACCAAAAATGTAGCCCCATTTGAAGAGAGAGCACGATTCCGAAATAAGCTGTGAAGAAAATCAGGCGAAAAGGCGACTCCAGGAAACTGGCAGAGAAAATATCCTCATGCTTCCCGTCCGCTCTGTGGGGCTTTTGTCTGGTCCTATTCAAAAACTTGTAGAGATCTCTAGCGCTAACGCTTTTGGGGAAAATTGCATGTGTTATCATTTTCGTTCTGCAGGGACGGTCACCGACCCCAGGGCCGTCAACAAAATACTCGGGGTGAAAATCTGTGCCCCGGGAAGAAGTCTAAACCTCTGGGGCTCACGTCGTGAAGAACACACGGCGTCGGAGGTCTGGGGATGGAGAGCTGGAGGAGGGTGGACGGGCATGACATAACAAGAGGACGAGGAGGATGGAGGAGGAGGAGGAGGAGGAGGAGGAAGAGAAGGGCGAGTGGATGGAGGAGGACGGAGGAGGTGGAAGAGGATTTACCCGAAGAAGTGCGACGCCCATAATCTTCCAGAGCGGTTCGCAACGCGGAGGCTACAGGAGAGACGCATCGGGAACTGTGAAGAGGTCAACCTGTGACGGGCGAGCCAAAATGCAGCCACTGGACATTACGCATGGCGGCCGCTGAAACGACGCGCAGCCGACAAAGGGGCGGCAAAATTCGCTGCCCAACCAGGAAGAAAAGTCCTCCACACGACGCCGATGGGCAGATGATGAGCAGGGAGGACACGACAAAGTGAAAGAGAGAGAGAGAGAGAAAGAGAGAGAGAGAGAGAGCGAGAAACAAAACACACAACAACAAAAAAGAGGGGGGACAAGCCAGCGTGGACGGTGGGAGCTTACGTAATCGTGCAACTCCAGCTTGAAATTACCTGCGGGAGCACAGCTAGAAAGTTCACCGCGACAAGCGCAAGGAAGCGCATGATGTGACAGGTTTCCGAATCTCTGACACGAGGCGACGGGAGGGCGAGGCAGAGAGCGGAGCGGGAGAGGACAAAGCGAGACGGATGTGTGAAATCACTCCTTGGGCGTGCGCATCCGTCTATGTTCCAAGGGTAGTGACACAAAACACGGCCCCGTGGTGCGGATAAGGCGGTGGCAGGGAGGCAGCCCCGAGAACTGTGCCTAGGCTCGCCTCAGACTGGAAGGCTTTCAGAGCGCGCCGTACAGGGCTGCCACGCAAGAGACGAAGGCCGACGTGCGCGCGCGGGTCGCACGGCCGCAGGGCCGCCTTGCTGGTCGCAAGGCCGCCGGACGTGTGAAGCCATCGAGAGGAAGACGAGGCCGCAGTGCTGGTAGCCGGCGTGTAGCGCCGCGTCGTGCTGCCCGTGCCCAGGTCGTGCACTCGCGACTCGTGAAGGCAAATCCTGACGGGCAACTGCACGCCCGCCCCAACCGCAAACTTCCCAAGAGCCCAAGGCATCTATCACACCCAAATGGCGAGATTCAGAGACCCAACCGTCCTGAAGCTGCACAGGCGGCAGCGACAGCAGCGACAGCGTCTGCTGGGGTGTGATGCTTGCTTTGCTGGTGGTACTGCGAGAGGCGCTGCTCGCTTACTTGCGCCGGAAAAGCTTGAGCCGCTGCACAAGCTCCGACTGCACACCGATGTACATGCCGTAGTGGTGCTGGTGGTCTCAATCGTGCCGGTAAGGCCCGTCTTGCACAGAGACGTGATGCTCGTCGCACTAAGCGTTGCTCTCGTAGATTTCCAGGTCAGGCTGCTGCACTCCGTAGTGAAGCTGGCCCCTGTGGCTACAGGGGCTGCGGCGGCCCAACTGCGACGTGCAGGGCGAAGTGTTGCTGGCGCGGCCGCTGCTGCTCACACTTGTGCTGCGCGCCGACGTACGGGTCGCAATGGTGCTGCTTGTCTGCCGTGAGAGTCGCAAGAATGGTCGACCATGCAGAACACCGGAACGGGTGACCTGGCAGGGTCACCCATTACATGGAAGCGCTCGACATCGTAATACTGAATGTCGACGCGGTGCTCAAATCCGTCGTGGTGGACAGCACGTCAGCGTTCGATGCTGCAGTGCCCGGTACCGAAGCGGTGCTTGACTCCATCGTGGTGGGCAACGTGGTAGCGCACACTTCCGTAATGCTGGATACCGACGTGGTGCTCGACTCCGTCGTGATGGACAACGTAGTAAGGTTCCACTCCGCAGTGTTGAATACTGACGTGGCCACTCCTTCGTGCTGGAGAGCACGTAGCGAGCGATGCTGTTGTACTGGCTAGCGACTTTGTGCTCGAATCTGTCATGGTGGACACTGCGGTAGCGCGCAATTCCACAGTGCTGGATATCGTCAAGGCGTTCAACTCCGTCGCAGCAGACACCGTGGTAATGCTCGGCTCCAGTGCTAGATGATGGCGCTCCATTCCGTGGTGCTAGTCTCATTGTAATGGAAAACGTGGTGGCGCTCCATTCTGCAACGCTGAATACCGACCTGGTGCTCGACTCTGTCATGGTGGACACCGTGGTTGTGCTCGACTCTGTAGCGCCGCGTACCGTTGGCGGGCACTGGGTTAGTGCCCAATTCCGTGGAGCTGGATAGCGACGTGGTGCTCGACTGAGTCGTAGTAGATACCGTGGTCGTGCTCGACTCCGTAGTGCTGGATACTGACATCATGCTCGACGCTGTCGTGGTGGTAAACATGGTGGCGCGCGATCCCGTAAAGGGATAGCGACGCGGTGCCCCATTCCATCGTGGTTAATGCCGTGGTAACGCACGATTCCGTAGCGCTGGATACCGAAGTGGTGCTCGGCTCCGTCGCGGGCAGTGCACAGCTCCATAGTGCAAGGTAGCGACGTGGTGCTCGACTCCGTCGTGGACACCGTGGTAGGCTCGTTTCAGTAGTGCCAGATGTCGACGTGGTGCTGAACACTGATGTGGTGGGCACTGTGGTAATGCTCGAGTCCGTGATGCTAGCTGCTAGATAACGAGGGTGGATACTGCATCGACCATGCAAATCACCGTACCGGGGTCACGCGTGACGAGGTCGTCGTCGACGAAGTGCCGCTGGTCCCGCTGCTGACCACAAAGCTGGTCATGATGATTGGCGTGCGGGTACTGTGTTGCAGTGGTGCTGCATCAGCATGTGGTCGTAGCCACCACGCCGCTGACCCCGCTCGACCTCGTTGAGCTGGTCACGCTGGTGGATGCGCCAATACTTGTGGCTGTGGTGCTGAACATGCCGCTGAGGTCGTGATTATTCTCACGGTCGTCGTCAGCGACGTGTCGCTGGTCCAGGTAGCACTGGTGGATGTGCCAGTGCGTAGTGTTGCCCAAGCCTGTGGCAGCCGCCAGCGAATTGTTGGGCACTCGTAGTCGTCGTCAGCGGCGTGCCGCTGGTCCAGCTGAAAGTCGTCAAGCTGCTCGCGCTGATGCATGTGCGGATACTTTCTGCCGTGAAGCTGCACGAGCCCGTGGTCGACGTCAACAACTTGCCGCTGGACCCGCTGACATTCGTGAATGCGTGCTGCTGCCTGCTGCCACTGTTGCGAGCTGCGTGCTATTAGGTGCAGTTGAGTGTAGCTGAGTGCTGCTGCTGCGGACGGATCTACTATTAGAGCGGCGCAGTCGGAACGGGCGTCGCAGCAGGAGTCGGAGAATGAGAGCGACCTGCTACTCAGCGTCGGTCTGCTGGGACCTATCGTGCTGCGCCGCGTCTCTCTCTCTCTCTCTCTCGCTCTCTGCAGGGGCCCGTCGTGCTGTTCAGTGTCACACTGCTGATATCTGTGGCGCTGTCCAGGCTCCAGGGCGGCAGTCAGTCGGAGCGGAAGGAGTCGGAGCTGGCGTCGGAGCTGGTGCATCTGCCGGAACTGGCGTAGGAACCATAGTGGGAACGGGCACGAGCAAGAATAAGTGCCCACGATTCCGCCCTGGGCTGAGCATACCACAAGTACTGCCTGGACCTCCGGTAACCGCCCACATTTCCGCCCTGGACTGCTCAGGACGGAGCAGTCGGAAGAGGAGGGAGGAGGAGGGAGGCCTGGATAGAGAGCTGGAACAGCGACACGACCTGGCCCTTGCGAATGGAGACGGAGGCGTCCCCAGACACACTGGCGTCCTCGGCGGAGCGACGGTCCTGCTCCTCGCCCTCCTCCTGATGCCAGTCCTCCCCCTCCCCCTACCTGTCGTGATCCAAACCCTCCTCCTCCATCTTCTCCCCTCCTCCACCTCCCGCCCCTCCCTCTCCGCGTCCATCCTCCTCCTCCTCCTCCTCCTGCTCCGACTCCTCCTCCTCCTCCTCCTCCTCCTCCTCCTCCTCCTCCTCCTTCTCCCTCCCTCCTCCTCTTCCTCCTCCTCCTCCTCACTCCGTCTGCTCTTCTTCACCCAACCTCCCCACATTCGCCTATCCCCTCCTCGTCCCCACCCCCTCATTGCCTCTCCTCTCCTCCTCCTCCTCCTCCCTCCTCCTCCTCCTCCTCCTCCTCCTCCTCCTCCTCCTCCTCCTCTCCTCCTCTCCTCCTCTCCTCCTCCCTCCTCCTCCTCCTCCTCTCCTCCTCCTGCCTCTCCTCCTCTCCTCCTCCTCCTCCTCTTCCTCTCACCTCTCCTCCTCTTCCTCCTCCGACTCCTCCTGCTCCTCTTCCTCCTCCTCTCCTCCTCCTCCACCGACTCCTCCTCCTCCTCCTCCGACTCCTCCTGCTGCCTCCCCTCTGCTCTGCCTGCCTGCCTCTGCCTCTGCCTCTGCCTCTGGCCTCTGCCTCCTCCTCCTCCTCCTCTTCCTCCTCATCCTACTCCTGCTGCCTCTGCTTCTGCCCTTCTTCCTCCTCATCCTCTCCTCCTCCTCATCCTCCTCCTCCTCCTCCCTCCTCCTCTCCTCCTCCTCCTCCGCCTCCCTCTCCTCTCCCTATTATTATATTATTAGCATTATTATTATTATATTATTATTATTATTATTATTATTATTTTATTATTATTATTATTATTATTATTATTAATTATTATTATTATTATTATTATTATTATTATTATTATTATTATTATTATTATTATATTATTATTATTAATATTATTATTATTATTATTATTATTATTAGCATCATTATTATTATTAGTATTAGTATTATTGTTATGATTACTATTACTATTATTATTAGTAGTAGCATTATTATTATTACTATTATTACGATTATTATTACTATTATTACTATTATTATCATTGTTATTAATATTATTATTAGTATTATTAGTAGTATTAATATTAATATTATTATTATTAATATTATTATTAGTATGATTAGTATTATTATTAATATTATTATTAGTAGTATTATTATTAATAATATTATTACTAGTATTATTATTAGTATTATTATTAGTATTAATATTATTATTATTAATGAGAATATAATTAGTATTAGTATTATTAGCAGTATTAGTAGTATCATTATTATTAGTATTAGTATTATTAGTATGAATACTATTAGCATTATTATTATTAGTAGTATTCGCATTATTAGTATCACTAGTATTATTAATATTAGTAATATTATTAGTATTAGTGTTAGTATTAGTATTAGTAGTACTAGTATTATTATTAATATTAGTATTATTAGTATTGTTAGTAGTATGATTAATATTACTAGTAGTAGTATTAGTAGTAGTAGTAGTATGGTTAGTATTGTTATTATTATGATTATTACTATTATTATTAGTATTAGTCATATTGTTATTATGATTATTATCAGTAGTAGTATTATTGTTATTGGTTTAAATATTTCTTAGTAGTATTAGCATTAGTATTGTTAGTAGTAGTATTAGTATTATTAGTATGAGTATTAGTATTAGTATTATTGTTATTGGTAGTATTAGTATCATCATATTAATAGTATTACGATTGTTATTATTCCCCAAATCCAAAGTGGGGTTCTTGTTTTCTCTGCACACCCCGCGCAGGAACACTCACCCCACCCCCTCTCCTCTTCTGCCTCATCATGCGGATCATTCACACACACACACATCATCATCACTCGCACTCTCTCACACGCTCACGAACATCATCGTCATCATCGGTATCGGCATCATCCTCATTCAAACATCATCATCGCCACCACCACCCACAATCAATCATCATCCTCTTCACCACTCATCTTCACCACCACTCATCATCCTCATCCTCATCATCGTTGAGTAAAGTGTGAGGAAGTCTCAGGCGGGAGCCCCCTCCCTATGGGGCCCGCAGATCATGTTGGTAATCCGAGCGGGTCATCGGAACCCTGTAACTGTCGTCACTTTTGGGCTCCCCAGGCCTGAAAATGGAGGAAGTCTCAGGCGGGAGCCTCGTCTGTGAGTGAATTGGGAGGAAGTCTCAGGCGGGAGCTCCCTCCCTATGGGGCCCGCAGATCATGTTGGTAATCCGAGCGGGTCATCGGAACCCTGTAACTGTCGTCACTTTTGGGCTCCTCAAGCCTGAATATGGAGGAAGTCTCAGGCGGGAGCCTCGTCTGTGAGTGAATTCTGAGGAAGGCTCAGGCGGGAGCCCCCTCCCTATGGGGCCCGCAGATCATGTTGGTAATCCGAGCGGGTCATCGGAACCCTGTAACTGTCGTCACTTTTGGGCTCGTCAAGCCTGAATTTGGAGGAAGTCTCTGGCGGGAGCCTCGTCTTTGAGTGAATTGTGAAGAAGTCTCAGGCGGGAGCCCCCTCCCTATGGGGCCCGCAGATCATGTTGGTAATCCGAGCGGGTCATCGGAACCCTGTAACTGTCGTCACTTTTGGGCTCCTCAAGCCTGAATATGGAGGAAGTCTCAGGCGGGAGCCTCGTCTGTGAGTGAATTGGGAGGAAGTCTCAGGCGGGAGCCCCCTCCCTATGGGGCCCGCAGATCATGTTGGTAATCCGAGCGGGTCATCGGAACCTGTAACTGTCGTCACTTTTGGGCTCGTCAAGCCTGAATTTGGAGGAAGTCGGCGGGAGCCTCGTCTTGAGTGAATTGTCTCCCTATGGGGCCCGCAGATCACGTTGGTAATCCGAGCGGGTCATCGGAACCCTGTAACTGTCGTCACCTGCCTGAGTCTCAGGCGGGAGCCTCGTCTGTGAGTGAACTGCGAGGAAGTCTCAGGCGGGAGCCCCCTCCCTATGGGGCCCGCAGATCATGTTGGTAATCCGAGCAGGTCATCCAAAACCTGTAACTGTCGTCAATGTTGGGTTCTCGCGCTGCCAGAACGCAGTTCCCAGGCCACACTTTGGATGCAACAAGGAAGTTTTTGGGCTCCTCAGGTCGCCGAGGTGCTGCGACAGGGCGCCGAAGGCGCCGACGACGACGGCCAGGCCGAGGCGCGGGCGCGGAGCTTGCTGATGTTCAGGCCCAGCGAAAGGGAGTTCACATGGCAGAGCTCGGGGGCGCACAGCGTGCGCCGCTCGGGGTTCACCCTGACGCACGCGTCCTACCTGACCTCCACGCTGTCGCAGGGCCAGACGCTGCGCAAGGGCGTCACCATCGACTGCGCGAGAGACGAGGACGCTGGCCGCACGGGCATGTCGGACGAGCAGTGGTGGCTGCACCTCTACGTCATGTTCTCCCGCGCCACGTGCATGCGGAACATGCTGATCCTGCGGCCGCCGCCGCGAGAGTTCCTGGAGTGCGGGCCGCCGGCGTCCCTGCGGAAGGCGCTCCTGGAGTTCGACAAGAGAACGGTTTTGTCCAGGGCGGAGGCGAAGCAGCTCGCGGCAGAGCTGGGCTTCGTGCTGCCTTCCGCCTGAGCGCGGCTGCGCCTCGCTCGAAGCCCGCGGGGTTGTCCCAACGGCTTGGTCTTGCGCGCCAACGGCTCGCGGGGTTGTCCCGACAGCCTGGCCCGCGGGGTTGTCCCAACGGCTGCGCGACGTGACCTGTAGAGAACGCGCCTGTGCTGGCCGTGGCGGCGACGGCGCCGAGGAACATCGACATGCGCGCTCATGCAACAGGAAGGGGAGGAGGTGGCGGGGCGCGGAACAAACAGGGGGGCGAGGATGGGGACAACGTAAGGAGTGGAAGGGGGGCCCGCGCCAAGGCGAGAGGAAATATACGCAGAAGAGACAGCCAGGACGCCTCACCAACCACGAGGACGACGGTGATGGCTTTTTCCAGATTCGCCCAGAGGATTCTTATGTGGGGTTCTTCCGTCGGAGTAATTATTATTATACAAACTAGTAAGAATATTATTAGTATTATTATTAGTATTGATATTATTATTAGTATTAACATTATTATTATCAATAATAATATTAGTATTATTTGTAGTGTTAGCAGTGTGATGATTCTTCTGACGAGTATTAGTCGTATCATATATCATAGTCTTAGCAGCATTGTCATTATTTCCAGTATGAGTACTATTCGTATTATTATTAGTATTAGTATTGGTATTACCAGTATTGTGTGATATTACTATGATTATGATTACCAGTCGTAGCATTAGTACATACTCTATTATGAGTATGCGTAGTATTGGTAAGATCCATCTTGATAGAAGTTTTAGTCTTATGATTGGTCTTAGCAGTCTTATTGATATATGCGTGTGCAGGCGGGGGTTAGAGCGGTAGCTCATCGGGAATAAAGGGGGAGCCACAACTCACGTTGATCACTTACTCTGGGCTTCGCCCCTTCTTACTCCATCTACTCGTTGGCCAAAGCTGTTGACAGCGCTTCGAATGCCTCGAGACAACGGCACCAGCATGCGCGAGCCCCAAGACTCACCCCGAGGCCACGGCAGGAATCACACCTCAAGCGCACCACCGTCGTCCAACGACCGGGGTCAGAACGCCGTTCCAAGTGGGCCTCGAGAGGGAGCAGACTCGCACCACGCTATGCCCAGAAGCCCGAGAGAAGCTCTCGCGAGACGCTGAACGAGGCAGAACGGCCAGGCAGAGAAGATGCCTGGACGGCATGGCACAGGGCGGATGTGGGCGGGCCACAAAGGCTGCCATGCATTCTGATGCGGCCAATGTTCGCTCATTACCCCTTCGCCCACACATTGACCGTAAACGTGTTCATGTGTGCGCAGGCGGGGGTTAGAACTGTAGCTCATCGGGAATAAAGGGGGAGCCACAACTCACGTTGATCACTCACTCTGGGATTCGCCCCTTCTTAC